AATGTCCCCCCTGCCTGCATACTTCAGCGTGTGTGTGTGTGTGTGTGTGTGTGTGTGTGTGTGTGTTTTAATTTGTGCTGTTTAGTGCTGCACACAAATGGCAGACAGTATTTGACTTTTGCCTCTACACAAATGTCTTAGGGGAAAGGGAGATGGTTTCAGAACTCCTTTTTGAAGTTATTTCTGTGTGTGTGTGTGAGAGAGAGAGAGAGAGAGAGAAAGAGAGAGAGAAGTGTATGTGCGTGCACAAGTCCGTGCCTGCACAACGTTCAACGCTCAACAGTTTTTTTTTGTGTATGTTCTCTCCACAGGGGTTTCGGCAAGCAGGGATTCCAGTGTCAAGGTAGGTGGTTTAAATGCTTTAACACACACACACACACACACACACACACACACATGCCCATGCACACACACACACACATGCACACTCAGGTGGTGCTCCATTGCTAAATGATCCGAGGCTAACTTTGTCACCCCAACCTTGTCTCATTATTTTCTGTTTCTCTCTTTTTCCACTTTAATTATCTCTCTTTCTCTTTTACCAGTCCCATAGTTAATCTCCCGAATCCTCTCTCCTCTCCCTACTTCCTCACCTTTGTCGTTTCCTTCCACTACCTGCTTCTCTTTCTTTCTCTTCATCTCTCTACTCCCGTCTCCAGATTTCTTTCCCTTTTTTACTTTCTTCCCTTTGTACCCGCTAGTAACTCTTTTTTTTTATCTTGACTTCCTTTCTTCTTCCTTCCCTCTCAAGTGAACACTAAGGTTTTGAGCTTTGAGCTCTTGTTTCTTCACAAAAACATGAAACATTAACTTATTTTGACAATGACTGCAATCTGAAAAAAAAAACAAGGGCCTGCGATTGTTTTTTTTAGTGATATTATTTTCAAGTGGGTTTTAATGAACACCATTTCCGAAGCTCAAATCTTCACTCAAAACGTCACTGGCTTGACAGGTCAACCTCCCTGATGTGCAATTCATTCAAAGCATAGCTGTTTTAAAATAGCCTTGCAACTCCTTGGGATTTGACGGGAACAAAGAATCATGAGCTCTTACTTCAGTCTGGGGGAAAAATAAAATATTTTGAATAGAAAGAAGCTATTGGTTTAGCTTTTCATATGAATAGAGCAATTTAAGATCAGTAGAAAAAGTCCCTGTAGGGAAACACACAGCAACAGAGGCTGGAAGTGGAGGCAGGAATTTGGTGCTTGCTTCATAGTGGAGCATACTGTATGTATAGATTTAGATATGGATAATAAGAAGCTGACTAAGGATGTGTAAGTGATTTCATTTTAGATAAGTTGATCGATGTTCGACCGAGTTCTCTTCCTGTGACAATAAAGCATAGCTAGACATCTGATTTTGTCGCTCTTTGCTGGTTTCGTTTACACAGAAAACAATTAAACCACTTGGTGCCATACTGATGAAGAAAGCTTCTTTCCTCTCTTCTCCCTCCCTGTCTTTTCATCCATCCATCCATCCATCTTCATACTGTAGCGTAGAGACGGATTCAGCGTCGGCTTTGTAGGAGTCACTTCAGGAAATGACATAAGCTATTAGAGAAACATATCCAGATGACAAAAATGTTATGCGTTGGGCTTTTGTCTTTTTTTTTTTTTATCAATTTGCTTGAAGTCTATGTTTTTTCTCCACTTGTATTAACAGCCAACTGGATGTGTTCAAGGATTTTTCACGTCTCCTAGCAACAGTGAAATATTCAGACGCAACCGTCTATATGCTGTAGGATGGACGAGGTGCTGTTCAACACAGCAGTGGGTTAGCTGGTAATTAGCCCTTGTGTATATGTAATGGCTCAATAGTGTCCTCTAGGAGAAGTATCCGCTGCACTGTAGGGATAGAAAAGGGCACTGGTTGATGGATGGACAAAGCAGGAAAAAGCAACAGTTTTCACTTACCTTCTTTCATCAGGTGTGTTTGTGTGTGTGACCCGAGTTGCTCTGCGACCCATTTGTTCGTCTGGGGCAGGGTATCGCTTCCCCAGAGCTCGGGGAGAAAGGGAATTCCTCTGCAAGGTCACACACACACACACAC